GTACATTCGTAATGACAACTGAAAATCACCAAACACCATTGAAAATTGATCGAAATATTCTAACACAATTTACAACGCTCTTGAATCTTTTTACACTGTCTTTCAGCCCCTCAGCCATATCAACTGATGACACTTGAACAAAAAATGTAAATATATTGTATGATAGGCTTATACTGATACTCATACTGTCGACCTAATTCGGTCCTTTAGTTGTCTGGATGACAACAAGCATTGAACGGAATTGCTTGCTTTGTATCACACAGGTTACATTTGTAAAGTTCTTCATTTAGTAGTGTTCCTCTCAGTGTGGGGAATTTGCTTGTTGCACAAACCAACCAAAGCAAATCAGTGATCGATTTCGTACAGGATAAGTATGCATATGTAAGCGATATATCTAGCTCTAAGAGTGAGATCGAAGTCAGTAAAGTAGTTAGCTTAGAGAAACAAAATCTGATAAGTGCAAGCTAAGAGAATCAGGTCAAGTGTATGGTATAGTGTCCAGGGGGTTCTGACATGCCGGATGGAAGAATATTGGATTTTGGCGAGCTGTATCCTCCGATGTATACCCACGGTTATTCCTGCTTCCTTAGTTTCCTACTTATGTGCAACAACTGTGTAATTATATTCTAGAATGTCAGTTAAAATGCCGAATAGTGATGATTGAATGCTTCCTAGACTGTTCACAGTCCCTTATTTTTCCGTGAGATCGAAGATGTGCTGAGATGACGATCGTTGAGTTCGACGGGCCGCCACCTTGGTCTCTTGATGCGAGCGAAACTGGGGAGAGTACAAAAGTCCGTGGGTAGGGGTGGTGGAAGGTACGGCGGGCGAAAAACTTGAATAGGGAGACTGTAACAGCTTCACTGTCTCGTGTTCAAGGGAAAAAGAGAAGCCTTCCACTTCTAGTCTCCTCCGCAGCCGTTTTTTGGGATGTCACGCAACGGAAGAGCGTTGCGTGACAAAATGATGAATATTTCATGAGTGAACCACGCAATCTCTATGGTAAGCAGTCGAGGGTGGTGGTGGGAGCTCGGGTTTTCCTGCCATTCGTGATGTCCTTTGACAGTTGAGAAGAGATCTGGGAGTGAAGTTGACACGTCATGCAACATAAACAAAGGTAAAACAAAGAAGATCAGATCACTGAGAAGTCGTCTTGACTGCGCAAAAAAAGTCTACTCTGATGGGACGTAAAGATGCGGAAGGAAGATCGGATGTAGAAAAATTCAGGAAGAATATAGGTGAGGGCTTAATCCATGTTTAACGCTTTTGTTATGTAGCTGAAAAATCTTTTCTTGCCACCTTGAGCGTGTAGTTTTAGGTAAGGAGAGAGAGAAAACAGTTGACGATTTGGTCCAGGCGGGAGCCTCGCTACAGTCACGTACGTTGGTCCTTTAGATACTTCTTTTCGGCTGCCTCGACACTCTTGTGCAAGGCTTAAGTTTCAAACGTATCTTCCGGCCTCAAAATGGCCTGTTTCGACTTGTGTGTGCTGTCTGCTCGCTATGATGGTGAAGAAGGTATAGAGATGGGGATGGGGTGGTGATTGTGGCCACTGAGAAAGATCGAAAATTTCTAAAATGCAGTAAGAGTACGTTGGTTGTATCCTAATCCAAGAACTGATGTGTCGACCAATTTCATTGGCTACGTGAGCTATGTAATCAGCAGATTTACATAGAAAGTTTGGTTCATTATAGCAATTTAAACGCTTTCTCTATTAAAATTTTAAACACACGGCATTCATGGAAGTCAGGTTTATAAGTAGAATATTGTTGTAAGTTATATAATATTAGGATTAGAATTTTACGTTTAGGATCTTAGACATTTTAGTAGAATTGATTTTGAATTTTTTATCGTGTATATTGATTAAAGATTAAATTCTTAGCGCATTTAATTGGACCAAATTTTTAAAATCAAATATGCAAAAATCAGTTTTATTGGCTACTGATAGGAAAGGAATACAATCTATTTAACAAATTGATGTAAGTTTTTCATGTGTCTGTCCTGTTATTGATCATGAATTTCGTCATGTCATTGTCAAAGTAGCTGTGGATCCACGAGGCGATAGTTGAGTGGATCTGCAGACTACTTTGACAATGTTATGATGAAATTCATTGTCAATTACAGGATAGACGCATTAAAAACTGACTTCAATTTGTTTTTTTACGATAACAGTTCACTCTCACTGGTTGACACATTGCATAAATTATAAATTCGTGTGTCTGTTCACTTATTGACAATAAAAATTAGGCAATGAGCGAGCGAGAAATTCTGCAGTTATTGTAAAATTGGTTATTGACCAAGCTTGAGGTCAAGATGGCTGGATATTGGCAGAGTTCTTTTTTTGGAAGGAACATTAGGCCAATATCCAGCCATCTTGACCACAAAAGCTTGGCCAATAAAGGATTTATTTTATGGTTTTCGCAGGAAATTTTTCTTGCTGGACACAGCAGGGTCCCAGGCAGGCGAGATAACCCCATCTTGCCCACTCAAGTAACCAATCATAGTGCAGGTTTTGGTTCATCTAGCCTGCAAACAGAGCTACAATAGCTATTAATAATAAGGAGTAATAGTCACTAATTCATTTGGATGGCAAGTGACCTGCTGTTCTTAAGTTCAACCACCCTGTTCTTAGCAAGGGGATATCGTTGGCCTCCATCAGTTGGCAATGACCAAGTGTTTCTTGTGTAATAGCTAATACAGTAAAAACCCGCATAAAAGAACTAGTGGATTAAGAACACTCAGGCTGAAATTTGGCCAAAAAAGTACCATATACATAGAACATATTTAGCCTGAAAGATGAAAATTGCTCTTATATAAAAAATTGGCTGCCAGTTAGATTAGAATAACCTACTAGGATGCAATACTAAGTAGATCAATATATGTGCTAGAACATTGCACACATAGAGTTTCACAGCAAGTATGGGAATTTCCAGGGTACATTTAGCAATCGTTTCTAAGACTTGACTAATTTATGCAACTAAATGACTGTTACCTTCTGTCAATCACATTCTTTATTTGCTGCAGACACAACATGCTGACATGAAATCCATTAATTAATTAAAATGTTGTGCTTGCACATTGATTTCAACTGTTGGTAGTCTATGCAGTAATTAATTTTTAGAAACAGTTTTAAGAACACCTTAAGAACATTTTCAGGCTGATTTTGCAGAAAACACCTGATATATAAGGGGGGTGAATACGTTTTCGGATTGACGGATTTGAACTTTAAAAAGCACGTGGATTGTGGATTTTTGCCGTAAATTGAGTGGATTTGCGGATTTTGAAAACACTGTGGATCGCAGATCAGCTCTGAATTTTGGTGTGGATTCCGGATTATGCCTGTCTTGATGTTGGGATCTTGGGTCCTAAACAAAATTTGGATCATAGATCTTTCTTCAGCCTTGGTCGGTATGTTAATGAGTTCATCCAAATTGTTTCTTTTTTTAAACAAAGCACATTTAAACTCAGGTGTGAGACTGTTACTGGAATTGTACTGTCTTATAGTCATCAAGCATGTTGCCTTCTTTACTATTTGTGTGAAATTACTAGTAACAATGGCATTCGAACAGATTGAATTCGGATTTGAACAAAACTATTGGTGGATCAACGGATTTGGTGAAGAAAAGGCACGGATAAGCAGATTTTCATAGCCCTATTCACCCCCCTCTATACATGTAAGAACAAAATCAGCCTGAGCCCCCAAAACACATGTTCTTTTATGCAGGTTTTTACTGTACTGTATGGCCATTCTGCATGATAATTAGGATTTTGTTAAGATGGTGATCACAGAAAGTATAATTTCAGTCACTTAAACCAGTAACTGAGAGTTGGCATAATCAAATCTATTCTATTCTAGCGTCAATTCTGCAGTGTTTTTAAAATTTACTTTGTTTTGGAATGTCTCATCCTAAGCGGCCACTCAGCCCGGAGCCTGCATTTTTGCACTCAGAGGTGTCATAATTGGCTTCTTTAGGGTTCCCTACTATAGTGTGTTTAAAATGAGATGATACAGTCTTATGATCAGGAAACCAATTTAACCATTTTCTTCAATGTCCTTATTACTCAATTACAGTGTATACAATGTTTTTTGTTAGACCAGCATTGACATAATTTCTTTGTTATGTTTTTTTGCTATATCAGGAAAACAGGAATTCAAAGGTCGTAGCAAAAAGAAGACACTATCAATTCGTGACAAAGCTCAATCCAGGAGATCAAGTGGAACTATTCAGGTAAATTACATTTCAGGATAACAATGATTATTATTGACTTGTGAGAACACAAGAAGAAACAAGGACTGAGATAAAATTGTTCTGTTCTTTTGACATAGTTTGAGTTTTCAAATCAGGTTTTAATAATGCTCAGGTTGGACACGGAACATGACTTTAGTTCATGTTGTTAAAATGTGACAGCAGGGGTAAGGAATGGTACACTCAAAACTTTTACATGTATTCACGTGGGGGTGGGGGGGTGGTTGGTAGGGGGTTATAAGAGATATTCATGAATGTTTTAAACTGAGTTGATAAAAACATCCAGTGGTATCCAAAAAAAAAATCCAGTGGTATCCAAAAAAAAAAAAAACATCCAGTGGTATCAAAGACATTTGATACCACTGTGTTATGGAGCCCCAACTGAATCTCAAATACCATAGGTGAACAAACGCAGCCTTTTGACTTTAGGTAAAGTTGAAGCCTGTTTTAAATAAGAGATACTCTACATGTCAGCTTTTAATAACTGTTGTATGCATAAGACACTTAACAGTTCTGGACCTTAAAGGAGAGAATAAAATATGTATGTGTTGTCTGTAACTCCACATGTTCTGCACGAGATGGCATTAATGAAACAAGTAAAAGCAGCAGAAAATAAGCGGTATTTTAATGTAACTGTGACTATTAAATGTGAACTGACTCTAACGAACAGTGTCACTTTAAATTAGAGACTATTTACACATAACCTGTACACAAATGTCTCAGTCATAAATGTTACTGTCAGTGTAAGTCAGAACACTTTGATTTGATTCTGACAGGCCAGTTGTGTACTGACCAATCACAATAAAGTTCAGGACACGCTAGCAAACCTTAAAACCACAAACCAACTTACTATTGATGTTTGCTGTCTAGTTTTCTCATACCTAATTGCCTTTCCCTTTGCTACACATCAACATTTCATAAATATTTCTGGTGTTCATGGTTTTCCGAGTTTCCTATTAAGGTGGCTCAAAACAGTTTCCAGCAGTTAGATTTTGATGGGTCATTTTAACCACTCTTTATCACTTGATGCTACAATCATGGTATCGAAAAACTGCCCAATCATTGGTGAACACGTTGTTATCATTCTCGTGACACTAGAGGTTACCATAGCAACATTATGACCTGCTAAAACCACCCTTAATTACAGCTTTAGGGGCTTATAGTTCAAAAACCGCACAGTGAAATCTTTTATATCAAATTTTCGTAAGCATTGATAAGATGCAACTTTTGGCAAGGTTTTAAAAAATCTGTACATAGGGTTCAGAGCCTTAAATTTTCAAAACTTTAAGGTGACTCCTAACCCTAAGTACAGATTCTTTAAAAAACTTTGCCAAAAGTTGCGTCTTAGCATGCTTATTAAAATTTGATAATTATAAAAGGAATTTGCCTTGCCATTTATGAATAATAAGCCCCTAAAGCTCTAATTAAGTCAAGGGTATTTTTTGCAGGTCATACTGTGGCTATGGTAACCCATTGTGTCATGAAAATGATAATAGGGAGTTTACGAAACCACGACGGCGACGCCGAGGACAACGTAGATTAAAAAATGGATTTATATTTTACCTACAAATCTCGCGATACTCTAAAGTCATTTACTTTGTTTATCACTGTCAAAACTATCGSAAAACTAAATCCGGAACACAGCGATAAATTTGAAATAAAAATTTAAAATATTAGCCGTCGTGGTTCACGTTCTCCAGACAACGCAAAATTTGGTCATTTCACGTTGTTTTCTTGCAAAGGACGGCAAAGAAATGTACCAAGAATTATAACGCACGTGCACAGCCATTGTTCTGCTCATTAATTCTTTTGTTCAGTGACGTTCCCGTTGCCGTTGCCGTCGTGGTTTCGTAAACTCCCTATTAACGTGTTCGCCAATGATTGGGCAGCCTTTTGGTACCACGATTGTAGCAGCAAGTGTAAAAGAGTGGTTATAACGACCCATCAAAATCTAAGTGCTGGAAACTGTTTTGAGCCATCTTAAATGCATCTCATTTCTTTCCAGATTGTGTTATTGTATTTGTTTGTTATCCTTGCTGTCCTGGTGTCGCTGTACTTTGTGTTCTACACTGTGTATGCCAGTAACAAAGATGAAAGCCACTCCAGCTGACAAGAATGAGGTACAAACTAAAACTTCATAATCTACACTGTATTGAATTGTGGCCCTGGTTATAATTTATTGTTAGATCTACATCCGTACATGACTTGTTTAATTAAATTCAGTGCTAGTACTAGTGTTAGTAGCAGTTGTGATACTGTAAAACATTTAATTGGAACACTTTAGTCATTGCACTTTCGTAACATAGGTTAAAAAAAAGAGAAATTACAATCTTCAAGTATTTTATTCTGCAATACATGTAGTTCATTACACCGCTAAAAGATCAGTCTTCCGTGGTAGCGCCAAAGCAAAACAGACACCACTTTTCGCACGGTCGATCATATTCTCGTTTCTCCTTCTTCCCAGCACAGCCTCCACGTGGCGGCAAATGAACTTCGATGCCAGCCCTACATGTTTTTCCGCCAAAAAACATTGCGCGCGAAACAGCGGATTCAACCCGTTTGGAAACCTTTGCTCCCCAGGCCTCGGGCCAAAGACTTCTGATTTCCTCTTCTACAAACAGCAGCTGTCTACAAGGAGTTGTTTTGTAAAACTGTAGTACTGTGGAATTAACCGGTGCTTCACCTTCTGTGGAGACGATTTTGTTGATGATAGTCTTGATGAAGCCCCTGTGTTCGAGCTCTGCGTTGTCCAGTTTTTGAAGGACGTCGCTGACGGCTGCCCTATAGTTGTGGTTAAACACGCGAATTGCGATGTTTTCTGACGCTCTTGAATCTGCGGTGTATAAGATTAGCAAGATTTGTTATATAGCTTAATAAAGTGGAAATTTTATAATATCTTCGTGTAAACTAACTACGTGTGTTCTAAAGTTGTATTTCAAGAACTTCAGAGAAAAATGGACGTGTGTGATTCAACATTGAACCCAAGAGGCGTGGGTGTAAAGCTGAGATTTTTTGCTTCTTAAGTATCCCATATTTACTGTCTTAGGGTTGTTGTTAGATGATCTTCGCACTGTTCTGGCATTTATGTGTATTTAGACTAAGAAATCCGACTTCTGTTGGCGTAAGCAGAAGGTTGTTTAGTGCAGGAGGTATCTAACTTTATGTATCAATTGTACAGTAACCAGAATTTATCCGCTGAATATTTAACAATTATTCCTTGAGTACACGTAGGATGCGGGGTGTTAAATAACAAAGGAAACGCCGAGTTTATTATAATCACCTCTTATCCAACAAGGGCGAATGAAATAATTGTTTTATTAAATTAGACAGTCAATTAGCTAGATGATGTGGGCATTTTAGTGTGATTTAAACGAAGCCATAGTCTAAAAATGGCGGGAAAATCTGTCGGGCGTTCTCCATTGTTGGGGTTGAATGAAGCATGTCAGGAAAGCGAGCGAGACAAAAAGGTTTCTTCCGAAATATCCTCGCATAATCACCTCCAAAGGTTTCTACATTTTGGAAAAATGTGACGAGCGCCAGGTTTACAAGAAGAAAGGTTTCCGAGACGCCTTATTCGAGTCAAATGAAGCAAATTTTACTTGTTTGCGCGGCTGTCATCATCAAGACTACAGACTGTTAGTGTTGCTCAAAAGCGATCGAGTTCAAATGCATTGAAGTGTAAAAGGACAAGGCGGAATTGAAAGGTATGAAAGGTAGTAAACTTTTCTGGGGTGCTAAGCTTAATATTATACTGAAAAATGTGTTTTCACGGCTAACAATAACTGAACATGAACGATGCTGTGTCGGTTTTTGGTTCTTCCTTTGAATTCTTTGTTGGTTTTCTTCTTTATTCAGTTGCTGTTGTTGTATATTTACAAGCCCTTTCGATTAAATAAGTAGTTTAGTTGATTGTGGTATTTTCTGGCTTTTTATAGTTTCCGGATTTATAGATTTGCCTCGTATTGTTTCCTTATTTTGGCGATAGAAAGCTCACCAAATGTACTTCTTTCAGCCATGTTTTTTTGGAAAGAGCTTTCCTTCACTGGCGACCCACCGCATTCATATTCCACATATACAGTCAAAGACGGGTATAATGGCTGATAACCCAAATTCAGGGAACCCATCAGAGGGCCGCGTTGTTAATTCGAAAGCCGCTTAACGTTAACCCAGGATTAAAAGTTCACCGAAGTATTAATTTTTCTTTATAAAAATTGTCATTGCCCATGTTTTCAGTGGCTTGCGATTATTTAAATTAAAAACTGAGAGACAAACAATATAGACAAAAACTTCATCGAATAGATACAAAACTTAAATCAAAATTCTTGCTAACCTTGGTTAGCGTAATCGGGCTTTGAACAACCCGGCCCTGAAAGCTACAAGTGCTTTATCCCAGGTTTAGAATTTAGGGATTAATCTCCTAAACCCGTCTCAGGAGTAAGAGTACATCTCGTATTGGAATGTGTTCCGTCTTTATATTCGTGGGAGGAATATTTCAACGAGGAGTTTTCGCCCCAAAATTGTCATGAAATGATGAACTGATCAGAGATATTATAAGACGAAATTATATTTCGAGGTAGAAAAGTTTATTACATAACCCAAGCAGGTAATGTACATTAGATTTTTTGTGTTTATGATCATACATAAATTACAATTCTGCCCGTCATGTTATGATCATGGTCAAAACGATTGTTAGCTTTCACAATGGAATGAAGTGGATACAGCACTAGAAGGGCACATTAGACTTTTGTTCATTGGAATTTGAAGTTAATATCTAGCTTATTACACGGCGACTTACCTTGACGAGCTGGCATTGAGCCGGTTGTAGTTACAAGAAGGCATGAAGCCAAAAATATCGCACCTATATACCATGTTATGTTCTTCATTCTAAAAGCGGAGTACTGATTCTGCGGGGAAGACAATGATACAAGACCACAACTTTAACTGGTGTTTATGTACCACTGCCAGTGCTTGTTAGAAAATTCTGCGGGGAAGACAATGATACAAGACCACAACTTCAACTGGTGTTTATGTACCACTGCCAGTGCTTGTTAGAAAACTCGACATGCATAACAGTTTCCAGAATAAAACTGATACCGCTTAACTTATCGTGGAATTTCACCTCTTGTCCTTATTTTCCCAATTTTGGCCGCCATTATTAGTAGGACTCTCGGAGTTCAAAATCAACGAATCGAAGTTGTGAACAAATACAGTACTTTCTTGAGACTTTTTTATTACTGTTTCCTTCCTCTATTTAGTGAGTGTTGTCGTTCGAATATGATATCATTCAATGCTCTAGGTAGTAACAATGAAGATACCAAAAAAAATTATTTCGGTCGATTCTTAGGATGCTAATTTATTTCACCAATCAGAAAGCTGCTGTGATATGTGGTAATATAGTACCATAGTCTCTGTAGAATAAAAGTCGTGAGAATTTTTTTGTGAAGCTAAGAAACTGTTCGGTAGTTCTAGAGATTTTTTTTCAAGCCAAAACCTGACCAGTACAAATTTTTGAAATCTTAAACGATCTCTTGCTCGTCTATTACAAAAGAATAGCAAAAAAAAAAGACGGCGATTCTTTCAGCGAGTCGTAACGGAAATTAAATATTCTTTCCCTTCGACCTTGACAATTATTTTATTCACTTTTGTTTGGATTATTTAAGTCCCTCGTTCAAATTGCAGTTTCTTTATATCATCCATTACTGCCGATATCAATGAGCTGGATTCTCGTGAAAAATGTACTCGCTAGAAAATAATTCTCAAAACTATCGATTAAGGACCAATGCCTCATGTTTATGAGATCAAACTTGGCTTGAAGAACTGCCGTTCTAAAGTCTGTTTGCTACTTTAGCTTCATTGATATTTGGCGAGGTTAGAAAACGTTTTATCTTATCGGACATCAAGTTACTGATCAACATCAAGTGACTGATAATTCGGCTTACCTTGCCTTTCTGTACAACGTTGTAGTTGTGAAAGATTCTGTTTTTTGAACGACTGAACGGAGCAGAGGCAATTTATGTGATCTCGGCATTAGTAATAATAAACCCAGCCGCTTTTAAAATGAGTTGCAGACGATAATTACTTGCCATTAATAAGGAAATGTTTGATAGCTCTATTATGGTTCTTTTAACAAGTTTCAGGCCGCAATTACTAATTTCCTTTTGTTGAATAGATTCAATAGGCTCAATTTGAGGTAAGAGGTGATAAAGATCAACACCCTTGTCTTCCAATTGAATTTTGGCCATAATTCAATAAGGATAGCCCGTTACTGTGTTTGGCTGGACAATTACTCACCATTTTTATCTTCCCTCGCGGAATCGTTGCAGAAAATTCCACATTTCTTTCTTAGTTAACACCTAGTTTAGTTATTAAAGTGTGTAATGCTGTTTGCTTAATTGGTTGCGGTTTCCGTCTTGCGAATGTACCCATTCTTCATCCGTTTTCTTACCATGAATGTCAATAGGTTTTACAATTAATGCTGCACAGTATTAAAGGAGTCATTTCAAAACTGCTTCAGTTGCAAGTAGTTATCATTACTTTAGCCAAGACTTTTCTTAGGACTTTTTGGAAGTTAGTTTCTTTTTTTGTCTTAGGTTTTTATTTATTTCCCATTGACTTTGCCGTTAAGGAGTTTATTAACTGCCAGCTATCAGATGCTTCGACACCTGAAAACTATTTGTCATGGCACGATAAACTTTATCATTCGAGGGAAAGTAGGCTTTCATTCAATGTTTGATGACGAAAATGGCATAACAGAGATTACGTTTGTGGGTTTCAATTAACCTGTATTATCCACTCGTATATTAAAATAACACCTTTAAGAGAGGAAAGGGATTCCAGGGAAAAACCAGTGTATTTGACTCGTAGGGAATTGTCTCACAATGCATAGTATAACAAAGCTATGTACACGGAGCATTCGCTCTTTCCTTAGAACATAGCTCACGTGAAGCCTAGAAAATTCTGAAGCATCTGTTGTCAAGCGTCCGTTTTCAAGTTATAGAAATAATTATTGAAGATTTGGACATGTCAGGTTTGGCGGTAAATGGAAAAACAAATAACGCGCGCCAAGAACTCGCGGGCGACACCACGTGCCAGGAGCAAACAAACTCTTCCGTCCACCAGCTGTCGGTGTTGAAAGCTTAGACATTTTACCGCGGCCGTGTCAAGAGCCCACTTTGTAAATAATACATTGGGAAGTGGTTTCGTGTATGTCGTTGTTTGCATTTTTCGTTTAATTTTCCAAAGCGAGCAAACACGTACACTTAGAAACATCCCGTTGGAAAGCGCGCGAAAACAAAGGCGTTCTTCTTTAATGTAACTTGAAAGAAATTCCACAGAACAAGCACAAACTGTTGACGTAATGATGGCGTCAGTAAAGAGAATTTACATTTTGATGAGCGAAATCTGATTTTCTTTTCCTTTTTCTCTCCTTTTTTTTACTCTCAAAGAACTTTTTTAAAAAAAAGCATTTTTCTTGGTGTTTCTATCAAGTTTGGAAACACGCAAAAGCTGTGTTAACATTCGCCCATCACTTGCGTTACCGAAACATTTCTCATTCTCCAGAACACGAAAAATTGCTTTCTATTTTTTTTTGTAAGAAACAAGGGAAATACTCGTTGCTAGAAAAAATGTAAGACAAAATGTCGTTCTAAATAAACCATCGGACAAACAAACAGGAAGATACAAGAGGTACTAAACATCAATTGACAGGGCCTTAGAGAGATCGAATTTGTTTTGGGTGTACATTTCAGTTGATTTCGTACGCCAATAAGAAAATCTCTGAGGCGGTATGGAGCTTTGTGTTAGTCCATCACACTTAAATGAAATTTGTGTTAAGGGACTCAGCCTGCACTAAGCTTGTTCCAAAACCTGATTGGTTACAATCCATGAAAAGTACCTTTACACCTCGAATGTTCAGTGTCTCGAGACAGATCGATATTAAGATATTGTCTTTAAATCAGAATATTGTACAATCTTGTATCCTCATCGTTATTATTTGAACCGGTTGTAACAGGTTTTAGAAGTCTGGCCTCTGAGCCACTGACATAAGTAGCGCCACTGCGACATTATGTAACTCTGTGTAATACCTTACCAAATTGCTTTGTAAATCTCTTAAGGTAAAAGCCTCAGTTTATGTGCATGGACCGCTTTGATAGTTTTTTCGGAGATGTGGCTTAAGTATTGACAGAGGTTTGTTGGAATTCCTCCCACTACATTAAACTTCCGTCTTAACTCTTCCTAAGCCAACAGATTTTCTCGAGATAATATTAAACTACCACTGACAACTTTATGCCGTACATCAGGTACAACAACTCATATCAAGGGTCTCAATGCGGTGGTGGCTTTTCCGGCTATCGGTTCAGTAATAGTTACGCTTTTTGACAGCTAACGGTAACTGATTTATTTTCCTTACAGTGAACAGAAATCTTAAAAATTTCTCACCATTGTTAAAAATTAATTTTCATCGTTTCAAAAAGTTGAAAATTTGTTTTTGCTACTGTATAACATATTTTAAGTCTTCGGACCATTCCGGAATGGAAAAAAGGTATTATTATAAAAATTGTTACCGAATATTTATTTATTAAAGTCCCCCGGCTTTTCACTTTACTACCAAGACACAAGACAAGACACAAGACAAGACGCAAAAAAGTCTTCATAAGAGATCTTGGAACTTTCTTGGCTAAATGATTTCTACAGTTAACATTTTTCACGGCTAACGGTTGAAACTGCCAATTTTAATTTTGGCCTTTTTTTTACGGCTGACAGTTAACCCCATTGAGACCCTCTATGAAGGGCCTGTCAGGTTCTGGAAGGGCTTTTGATAACTAAGAGTTTAGTTGCACCAAGACATTCATCACCTCTGTATATGCCGGATTTCCATTGAAGGCGCGTGACGTACGCATTTACTTTCATTTCCTCTCGTAATTTCTTTTAACAGCCTCTGTATCAAGGTAATTGAGTTTAATAACCTCGAAACCAAATTACAAATAAATAAAACGTTTCAGGTGTTCCCGTGGAACGCACATAGAGGATATTACATGGCCGCGCGGAGTTACGAAATTTATCTTTGAGTGTTGCGCTCACTCGTGAAATACTTTCAACACAACGAGAGGAATTTCGTTTCTCCAAGCAATGAAATACCAAACGATTTCACTTTCGCGGCGAAAGGCGCGATTTATTATGTAACCATAGCGACAGTGATCTTTTCACATGTGAATATAACATTATTTTCGCGTGTGATAAAGATATCATGTTTTCGCGCGAGAGATCACCTGGTATTCCATTGGTGTTTATATAATAAAACATGGTATCAGTTGTTTTGATATCTGAGCAAGCACGAACACCCTCCATACGCACAGTGTAGACACTTTCTTGTCCCAACTGTCCGGCGAAAATGAAATAAAGTCAATTTGCTGAGATTTGAGATTATCTTAATGAACACTTTTAGCCTTGTTTTCATTGGTTGTGTTTTTGACCCATGTAAGTTGTAGTGCCGCGAAAAACGAACAGACGTTGAGCGATTGTCAGTTATTGATGTTGCTCAAAACAGAATAATGTGCCCCATATTTGAATATTTAAAACAACATTTCATTTGAGAGCGGAGTTGCCGGGATTTAAGGTAGTCCTGTTCAGTGCTTAAACCAAGACCAAAATACGCTGGAAAAAATCGAACAAAAAACAGGCCATAAAAGTTCGACCCTTTCTAAGTCCAAATGATCACCTAATCGTTAGGTGAACAACCGATCGGCGAGAACCCGTTAGTCTTAGTGTTTCGAGAGCAGCAGTCCGTGAATTGCCATTAGAAAAACAAATCTGAACGTTTCCAAAATCAAACAGATCTCTGCTGACTTAAAGAGCGACCTTTCAATGTGATCTTGCATTTGATTTTGAAGAGAAGCAAAGACTGAGAGGAATCATGGTTACTCTCCAGATTCGCGGCTTTATTTACTGCTCGTTGAATCAAATCAGTGAGCCAGTTGTTTTGTTTACAATTTTCAATTTCAACAGCAGAATTTGTCGAGCGTGTCTTCTTGTACACTCTTTTTTTTTTTTTTTCAGAAGCAGCGCTGAGGCTGAGATTAGCCCAGATTGAAGAAGACACTACGACCAAAGCCCAGGCTGAGAGTCACTTGACGAACTTTATGTTGACGACTTTTTTATGCAACAGTATCGATGAACTCTGCTAGAATGTAAAACTCTAGTCTACACAGTCCAATGACCAAGTGCTTCAGTTACGAACATATTTAAATACAAATAGCTTGTCTCGATTTATTCAGAACTATTGGAAGTGGTAACACAACTGCTAAATAAATTACCGATTGGAAATGGTACCTTGGGAACATCTTAAAAACGTTCCGGTCCCGGGTTAATGGCAGAAAAAAAAAATAAACTAAGAAAGTTGATCCCTAACCCGAAAATTAGACGATCTTAAAAGAAAAAAATCGAGTGTATTCAGCCATTCCACTTTGCATATAATTCATTAAGTCTGTCATAATATTTGGTGTTCCAGTTTGCCCATTTGGACTGTTTTCAAACAAGATGACAACATGTAATTTTATTCTTTACATTCGGTATTAATTAACATCAATGCACGTCTAACACACAACAGAGAGAAATAAAGGAGAAAATATAGTAATTAAACACACGGAGACGGCCTGTGAGTAAACTGTCGGAGTGAATCCATAGAATTTCAGTGAAAACTATAACAGAGATGGCCTCGATTTCGTCGTTAAATGTTACTTTATGAATTATTTGTTGTCACTTACGTACAAACCGAATAATGTAATAGTTAAACAGTTATGTGCTCGCGTTTATTTTTATCCTTTAATGTTTTAGTTATTCGAAACCCCTTCACGTGTTTTTAACGTGTCATAGTTTACTCTACCCACCTAAAGCGAACCCAAACCCAATTTGAAGGAGAATGTGTAATATCGTTTCCGTTTTCTCCGCACTATACCTTCAAAGTTCTAAAGTCTCTATACGAAGTGTAATATATCTGCTCGAAGAAATTCATAATTCTTTCAATCGATGTGTGCCGTAATTTGTATTAAATGCTTGTGTCATTACTTTATAGACCTCACGGACTCATTCAAATCAATCGTTATTCTTACAAATATTAGGTTTCGGACACGCGAGTCAATTTTTAATTTTGTTAACGATTCATCGGAAATAATATATCTTCTGTAGTACATGCACTATTGGAAAATGTCAGTGACTAATTTATTGCAAAATTAGTGCGTTGCAAAGTTTGATGTGATGTTGTAAGTTCAACAGCTCATACAAGAAATAGGCCGTTTAGGCCGTCTCCCTCATTATAGTATTAGTATGCAACACTGAAAAGCAGCTATCCTTTAACGTTCACTGAACCGATGCTATAAAGCACATGAAACAAGAGTTCGGGTTCGTACATCCTGGAACCGCACGCTTAACTTTCTTTTTCAGCTGACATCTTTTTGAAGGGAAATGAATTTCAATTCCGGCGGTGCATCGCTGGTTTTTCTCCCTTCTTTTCGCTGCCTCTTTTTGCACTTCGCTGGACACTTCATGCCCCCAGACACCAGGGATACTTCTGCGTAATTCGTCTTCAACCATTGCCATTTTTTGACAAGGAACTCTTTTCTGGTAGCGCACAATCTTAAGTAGCCGTGATTCATCTTCGTCTTCGGCTGTTTGGGAGAATGTTGTCGTTTTTCGGTAACCTCGTTCTGTCAGAGCTGCCGTGGTCAATTTTCTCTCCAAGTCCTCTCTGCTAACGGTGTAGCTTCTGTCGAATATACGGATGTCGATCTTCCGTTCTGCCGTTGTGGTTTCTGTAAACAAAAACACTGATTTCATTAATAGCTTTTGGGAGGGATCTGAATGCGGAAGGTGAGCTAAAAGAGGGTCACACGCCAGGACACCAAACGGATACATTTTGTTTCCGGGATAACGAAAACCCCTTAGTAAATGTCACATATTTAATCTTGTATTTAACTTGTGTTTAACGTGGTATTAAACTTTTTTTAACAGAGTCAATCAGTTAATGCTCTAACGTTTCTGTGCATGAATCCATTTTAATTTGGACTGACTAAAACAAGTTCCATGTATTGTGTAAAGTTTTGACCCAAAAAATCAATAGCACAAAATCAATGATTTATTTATTGATGGCGTCTTTGTCGTTACGTTGTAATCGCTTTTAAAAGCAAACAACGAAGTGATCATGTATGTATGGCGGCGGAATGAACTATTTTTTCTTGTGTGTCACTCGTTCTCGAAAGCTTTATCTCCGACATTTCAATTAAATCTTTGTCACGTTTACAACTCAAACTAGGGCATACCTTGTATCGCTGTGAAAGCCAGAAGAAATATCAATAAGAGCAACATTTCGCGTGATCTTTGTAGCATCGTCATTAACACTTCCTCGATGTCTTCCTCAAGGATCACAAACCACTCTTTTGACAACTTCTAGGGCCACGTCAGAATTTGGTCGGCTGTATGTTAATCAGTTAATCTTTTATTCTCGCAATAAGGAATTAGTTAACAAGGAAGTCGAACTTATCATAACTTTAGATTTAAACGTTCAGAAATCGTGAATCGTATCGTTCGTGATATCGGCGAAAAATTAAAAAGTGCGTTATCCGGGTGAATACACTAGAATGAGTAGTGCGATAAATTGTCTTTGTGGTTTGTAAATCTACACGTATGCGCAAGTGTGTGTTTAATGAGACAAAGGATAGTTGAACCATGACATTTTCTTGACATGGCAATAATTTGAATTTCAAGCCTTCAGTTGTGCCGAATTATATTACCTGCACACTTAACACATACGCTCTACATCTCAACTTGAAGGCTAAGGTTTTGTCATTGCTGTTTTTAGTTAAAAGAAAAAAAAAAGAACATTGATTGGCATTTAACCTCTCTTTACCATGTCAATACATTATCAAGGTGCACAGGTGAGGAGAATAAAGAAATTCAGCATGAGTCTCGCTATTAATGCCACGTTTCCTTTGTAAAACATTGTTTTTTTTCCTTTTTATTTAATCAGATCACCTGATTATGCAACCAACGACAACTTCTCGGAGTCTCCGACTGTAATCTTTCTTTCGATATAGCTTTACTCTGTTAGAAAAAAACTCCTTCATAACGGAGTAACGTCTTTTGTACGTACAATAACTCGAAATTAATTGCTTGATGGGTACCTTTAGTTATTTCGGATATCATAAAACAGTTTCGTGAACAGTGTTTTGCTACATTGATTCCGCAGCCGTCGCTCGTAGTTCTTTGTTTACTTTACAAACCCACACACCATTCACTTTGACTTCTGATGTTGACGTATTTGCTGAACAAACTAAACACTTTAAGCCACGGCAATTAGCAGGGTGATAATTTTAATGATTCTGTCACAATTAAAGAAATAAACAGTCGTAAAAATAGTATTAAGCCCTGGCCAAACGGACTCGCAAGTAGACGCAAGTCCTCAACTGGCGTCTACTTGCGACTCCGTTTGGCCAGACCTTGCGTGCACTTGCGTTGACTTGCGATGACTTGCGCTCACTTTGGTCGAGATCAAGTTTGCACGCAAGTCGACGCAAGTTTTTCGCCGTTTGGCCACCCAACCCAAGTCAACGCAAGTTGAGCGACGTCCATTAACGTATTATTAGCCAATGAAATACAGGATATGTCTACCTTGAAGTGGGTGTTTTTGCGACCTGCGTGTACTTGCGAGGAAACTTGCGAGTCTGTTTGGCAACCCAACGTAAGTTCGTAAGTTCAACGTAAGTTCAACTTGTGGCTACTTGCGACTACTTGCGAGTCCGTTTGACCAGGGCTTTTAAGGCCACGGTTTAATACACGCACGGGAAATACACGCAGATCGAGCTTTTGTTTTATAATACGCCATACTAGACTTTTAACCGAGTGTAGTAAGAAATAGAGAATTGCTTTGGTTTGGACGCAGTGGAGTCGGACAGCGAGTGTGCTACGGATTTCTATTGAGACAGCTTCGCCGAAGAAGACCTTTTCGGTGCGAGAAACCCAAGATCATTAAGCTTAACGAATAACCGAATTTTTTTCTAAGAATATGGGCATGCTTTAGCTGTGTAACAAATAATCTTAACTGAAGTGACCATGTCATTTTCGTAAAATTCCCTAATAATACGGGAGTCATTCACGTCGATAGCCAATTTTAGCTTGTGAACAGGCGTCAACTTTCGTGTGAAAGTAAATAGAAGCGCATGCATGCGTAAATGTGTGGCTTACGAAATTGAACTGCTTCGATGGGAAGCTCAGAAATTTTTGTATCTGATCTCTTAGAGACCCTATTCATAAATGGCTGCCGTAAGTTTGTAAGTTTTAAAATTAGCCCAACAAACCTTGTTTTTGAGTTGATAATTCAAAAGAATTTGTTCTCTCAAACGAGGTTAGTTGAGCTAATTTAAATGCATACAAAAGATTTTAAATTGACAGCCATTTATGAACATGGTGTATTGAGTTTCTATTAGTAGAACTAATATGTGATTTCAGTTAGACAGTTTTGCAGATTGTTCCTGTCAATCAATAAATCAAGATAACTAGCATACAACAGACCATTTGGGAGCTCCTGAAATCCTCATTTTCAGGATGAGGGTTATTGGCCAATTTTTGTTATGGAAGTCTCATTTTGACAACAGAGGTTGCACAGGTAGCCTCGCTTTGAAACTGAGGATTTTACGAACTAAAAAAGCTCCCATAGTGGCCTGATAGATTCAGTCATGATTTTGTTCACGTAACCGAGTGGAATTGAGTTTAAAGTTTGTAGAATGATTGGATAAATACATAAAATAAATTTATAATACCTCCAGCCTGAAAAAATGCGCACCTCTTAGTGTAGTCAACTATAGAGAGTATTCCCCCAGCTTGATGCAATACAATAATAAGTGTACTGTGACGATAAGTTTTTCCTGCAACACTGTAAATTTCGGACTGAACGGACACTTGAACTGACAACTGGGGGAATCTAACTCTGGAGAGCACTGCTTGGCTGCGGGAACGGAAATTCGTCACAATTTCCTGGTGCACGAGGATCTACTTCAATGGTCTTCACTACGGACGTCAAGGAAGAGACAACTTGGTCCAACAGTAGTTTATTCTGCACTCTAACGTTGAGGGTGAAACTGACATACTCGGCGGAGTAATCGATGTAATCGTAACGATGTAGCCGATGTAATCGAAAAAGCTTTACAACCGTACTTGCTTATATATCATCCTTTACACGTCAAGTGTTTACAATATGCTAATGTAACTTCAGGTACACAATACGAACGGAAAGTACTTAATTAAGATAGCGAATTCTAATCAACACCACGAGGCTTCCAAAATTAAAAATAGAGTGCTAGGATTAAAATTACACAGGCTGAGATT